GCTTAGAAGGAGGAAATGAGAATTTTCTCTGCTGCTTGCAATGCTTTTGCCTTTTAGATTTTCATAACGTGCTTTCATTGAAAAAAAAAAATCTATCCATCCTTTTTTTCTTTATCTTGTGTTTTGTTCCACTTGGCTGCACTAAGAGATTTGAAGATGAACCAGGGCGGAAGGTAAATCCAGAAAGGTTTAATGCAGTTTGTACTTTCAACCTGACAGATGCTATTATACCTTCAGTTAAATTTTAGTGAAAGTAGATGGTATTCCAGTAGTCTTCAAAAACGTAGTATTTTTCCTTGACTAATTTCTTTTTTCCTAAATAGTTGATTATGAGAGCAGAAGCATGGTAATGAAATTAAAAACAAAGAGAAAGTTTCAACCAGAAGTTATTTTCATAAGTAAAATATTTATTTTACTTACGATAAAAAATACGTAAAACCCAATCAAACCAAACCAAACCCGTTGCTGTCGAGTCAATTCCTACTCATAGAGACCCTATAGGATGGAGCAGAACTGCGCCATAGGGTTTCCAAGGAGCAGCTGGTGGATTCGAACTGCTGACGTTTTTGATTAGCAGCTGAGATCTTAACCATTGTGCCAGCAGGGCTCCTATAGAGGCCAGAGAAGACTTTTTTTGGACGGTTGACTTGTCCATCATAAGATGTTAGGGTTATGATGTAATTAAATTGTTGAGGGTAATTTGAACCAAAAAAAAGAAACATAAAAAACCAGAAATGGGAAAGGATGAGGCAGGGTCACTTGGGCATGATTCGTTTAGCAGATACTGTCAGGGGTCATGGCTTTGGGAGGGAAAACGACCCACATGAGGAGCGGAGATGGACGGGCGCAAGGAAGCTCAGCCCGTTGTCGCTGTTAGTTGCCGGGGTGTCAGCTCTGACTCATGGCCGTCCCGTGGGCAACAGCACGAAACGTTGCCCGGCCCTGTGCCGTATTCGTGGTCTGCGCTGTGCTCGAGTCCATTGTTCTGGTCACTGCACGTTTTTAGTGCCTTCCAGCCTAAGGGGGCTCGTCTTCCAGCACCACATCGGACAGTGTTCTGTTGGCGTCCATAGGGCTTTCTTTGGCCAATTATTAGAAGTAGATTGCCAGGTCTTTCTTCCTAGTCTTTCTTAGTCTGGAAGCTCTGCTGAAACCTGTCCACCATGGGGGACCTGCTGCTATTTGAAATACTGGTGGCATCGCTTCTAACATCACAGCAACACGCAAGCTCCCCAGTGTGACAAACTGACAGACAGGTGGTGATCTCTTTGGTAGGAGGTGTTAAAACACTTTGGAAAAGGAGGTGTTTCCGGGTCAAGATGATCAGAGGAGGTGTCTCGGGTGGCATTTGCCTGCACCTTGGTGGGTGGGTGGGTTTTGGGGGCAAAGGGTGACGCTCCTGGTGGAGACAATGGTGTAAAATTAGGGGAGAGGTAGGCAGTAGAAGGGCGCAGGGGGTGCGGTGGGCAGGCACATAAGTAAGTAGGCAGGGATTCCCTAGTCTACACGAGCTTTCTCTGTGCTATCTGACAGAATCCTTGGAGTGGACGCCAGAGGGGCAGTAGTAGGTGGTTTTCAGAACTCAGTCTGAATCGATGCTGGCCCAGCAGCCTCCCAGCTGTGTGGGCCTCTGAGCTTCAGCCGTGTCCTCGCATGTAAAACGGGGACAGGGAACTGGATTGTTGTGAGAAGTAACATGGTGCCTGTAAAGGACTTAGCTTGGGTTTGGCCTCGAGTGAGGGGTCAGTGCCAATAAATACCATCTATTACACACAGCGGGGCCCTGGTGGCGCAGTGGGTAAGAGCTCAGGCTGCTAACCAAAAGGTCAGCAGTTCAAATCCACCAGCTACTCCTTGGAAACCTTATGGAGTAGTTCTGCTGTGTCCTGTAGGGTCAGTATGAGTCAGAATGGACTTGTGGCAATGGGTTTGGGCTTTGTTTTTTTGGTATTACAAACAGCAGCAATAAGCAATAAATTGTGGATGGCTATGAGTTTTCCTCTTTAAAGCTACTGCTGGGAATAATTTTCACATTCCCTTGCGCATCCCCATTTGCTGCATTAGCCTTCAAGGGGACGTTTTGATCTCAGGGGTATAAGTAAAGGGCACATCCCCGGCCCTGTGTGGGGCATATCCATCACATGGGTAGTCTGAGAGATTCCTGAACCTTTCAGCACACACACGGAGCATTTCCTTGCCACAGGAGCTGAAGTGAAGTTTCCGGAAAGCACAGCATTATCTCAGTTAGCATTTTATAAACCGCTGGGGTATGGTCATGTTCCTTAAACCAGCTCAGTGTGCAGTTCACGTGCCTACTGGTAGAGTGTAAATGAGAATAGAAATTGCATCTGGTGTGCCTCCCTGCTCAAGGGGAGCAACCGCGAGAATGGACTGTAGACGCTGTACTAGAAAAATGTGCTTGCACCCTCATCTGCACATCTTGAAAAAAAATGTTTGGAATTTTGTGTCACACTTATATAAAAACTGGTTGCCGTCGAGTTCATTCTGACTCATAGTGACCCTATAGGACAGAGCAGAACTGCACCATAGCATTTTCAGTGAGCGGCCGGTGGATTTGAACTGCCATCCTTTTGGTTAGCAGCTGTAGATCTTAACCACCGTGCCACTAGGACTCCACGTTTATATAGATTTAAGGGTTTTTTTTCCAGTTATTTTAAAATTGTATTCACTGTTAAGAGCAGCAATGGAGGAATATTGAGGGGCAGAGCCCCTGGTGTCTTGGTGGTTTTGTTGAGTCTGCAGTTGAACTGACCGGATGTGATAACTTAGGCTGCACCTTCATCTTGAGTGGGCTGTAGGGACCTGTGATAGGTGACAGGGTAGGTGACATGGTGCCTCAGCAGGGAGCCTTGTTCTTCATTGATGCTGAGTCAGCACCCACTCATCGAGACCTTATGTACAACAGATTGAAACACTGCTCGGTCCTGCGCCATCTTCATGATCGTTGGTATATTTGACTCCCTTGTTGCAGCCACTGTGTCAGTCCATCTCACGGAGGTTTCCCTCGTTTTCGCTGACCCTCTATTTTACCAAACATGTTGTCCTTTTCTAGCAATTAGTCTTTCCTGATGACATGTCCAAAGTAAGCAAGCCGAAGTCTCACCATCTTCTCTTCTAAGGAACATTCTGGTTGTATTTAAGACTTGTTTGTTTTTCTACAGTCCATGACGTACCCAATGTTCTCCACCAACACCACAGTTTAAATGCATCAGTTCTTCTGTCTTCGTTGTTTATTGTCCAGCTTTCATATATCATCCGAGGTTGGGTCAGATACACCTTGTCATCAAAATGGCGTCTCTAAACTCACCTGAGAAGGGTCACTCTGCATGCACAGGAGTGTAGTGGCTGCCTCTGCATTGCTGTGCTTACCTTCAGGCATTCCCGCACCCTTCTCTGCACCTCCCAGTTCTGGAACATTCCAGAGCATGGCAGTGCCACTGGGGGAGTAGGCCTTTGAGATTAGCCTTGTATATAATTGTGTCTTTGTGGTGCAAACTTTAGCGCTCATTCTTATTCTTTCCAGAAGTCCTCTGATGTCCAACTTTTTTCTCCTACCACTCACACGGCACTGGCTTTGTCCTGGACACCGCTGTAGGCACTGGCTGCATTTTAACCTTCCAGCAGTCCTACGGTGCTGTTGTTACTCCCATTCTACAGGTGAGGAAGCTGAGGCGCAGAGGATAGTACACGAGGTCATGGGGGGCAGCGTGGAGTGTGACCAGGAGTCAGCCTGGCCTCTGCCCGTCTCACCAAAGAGCTTGTTTAAAAACATTTGATCTGTCTTCGAGGACTAAAAAATTACTGGAATAGCAGATCCATTTGATAACATTTCTGTTAATTTTTGCATAAATTCAACACGTGTCAGTCACTAGGGATGCATCATGACAGAGCGCAGACCCCTCCCTTAAGAAAACGTCCCTCCAGATATGGAAGCAGAGTGGAACCCGACTCGGGTATCAGGTCGTGACTAAGACAGCAGTTGCGCTGGGTGGCACAAACGTTAAGTGCTTGACCACTAGCCAGAAGGGTGGCAGTTTGAACCCACTCAGAGGTGCCTCGGAAGAAGGGCCTGGCGATCAGCTTCCAAAAGGTCACAGAGTAGAAAACCCTGTGGAACACAGTTCTGCTTTGCCGACGTGGGGTCGCCATGAGTCACAATCAGCTGGACGGCAACTAGTGCCAACGCGGACCCACGTTCCATAGTACCCCCCCTTTTAAAATGTACCATTCACTGGGTCTTGGCACGTTTGCAGGGTTGTGTGAGCATCACCATTATCTAATCCGGGAACATTTTTATCGTGCCCAAAAGAAATCACACGCCCTTTCAGCCATCACCCCGTGTCCCCCCTGCCCCCACACCTGGGCAGCCGCTTGTCTTCGTTGGTCTCTTCCGGGTTTGCCTCTTCGGACGTTTCACGTGAGCAGACGGCGTCTCCTCCCTTCACTCAGCGTTGTGTTCACACAGCTCATTGCTCCGTCATCTGCTCATGGACGTGCACTTGGCGTTCAAACTCTGCTTTCAGAGCTCCTTGTTAAAAACAAAAACGTAGTTCCCACAGTTGTTTTCTCTTGGATTCCCTAGGAGCTGTAGCTCACTCTGCCTGAAAGGGTTAATGACACAGTCCACCCTCTGTCCCGAACTGAGGAGAGCCGGTCCCCGTGGTGCTGTGTTGCTGGCAGGGTGTGCCCGGCTCTGTCCAGACCCGCAGTGGCTGCGGGGCTCACCCTGCACCTGCCCGTAACGAGGCTTCTGCTTGAGAGGTCAAACAGCAGGGCGTATACTTTTCTTTTAAACCTTATTTTTCTTCTTTCTCTTTCCCTTATTATTAATTATTATTATAACAGCTGGGCTCTGAGAGCATTCCTTCTGGTTTGACCTGGCATTTTCCCTCCTGGATTGTGGAGTCAGGGTCTGTTGCATTACCTGTGGTTCTCTGGAGACTTAGACTGTTTAAGTGTTTACCTCTGTCTCCTTCCAGGTCGATCCAGTGTTTACCAGGGAGGTAAAAGCCAAAGTGAAAAGGTAAGAGGAGAAACGGCCAGGCGATTTGTAGAAGTGGGAACCTGCATGGCCCCTCAGTTGCGCTTGTTCACATTTACACAGGACTTCCTGGGTCCCAGGCACCGCTCTCAGCTCTTTACAGATGTCCCCCCTCTCACCCAGTGCTCCTGTGAGGCAGGTACGATTATTTCCCCCATTTTGCCAGCAAGGGAACGGCGGATATACTTGCTACCAAGTGGCAGAGCCCACGCTCGTGGGAAGAGATGCCCAGCGCACTAGTTATCAGGGAACAGGCAGTTAACACCGTCCTGAAGTTCCCGCTGGAAGACTTCACGTGTTTGCGAGAATGGAGGGTCCCTCTGCCCTCTTCCCCCACTGATGACAGGGAAAATGGTGACAGCCTCTTTGGAGAACAGCGTGTCAGAGTACTGTATAAATTGCATGTGTCCCCTGGTTATAGAGACCCTGGGGCACTGTGGTTCCGTGGTAGAATCCTTGCCTTCCACGCGGGAGACCCCGGTTCTGTCCCCGGCCAGCGCATCTCGTCTGTCCGTCAGTGGAGGCTTGTGTGTTGCTGTGATATCTCCTTTGTCACGCGTTTTGAACGTGAAAAAAGAAACGTTAAGAGGCTTCTTGCTTCCCTCATCCAAACCAAAAAACCCATTGCCTTCAAGTTGATTCCGACTCGTAACGACCCTGTAGGACAGAGTAGAACCGCCCCATGGGGTTTCCAAGGCTGTAATCTTTACAGAAGCTGACGGCCACATCTCTCTGCCTTGGAGAGGCTGGTGGGTTTGAACCGCCGACCTTCAGCTTCACAGCTGAACGCTTAACCACTGCACCATACATCTTTCCTCAGTGATGTGAAATCTAACAGGTTCTCGCCCCAGTGCGGTTTCCTCTGCTGAGCTGTTCATCAGTGGTGCGTTTTGATCCGCATCTTTCTCCGAGCTTCCTGCCCCTGCGGTTCTCGGAACGCACTCACTGTCCGTTTTGTCTCCAGGAGCGCCGGGGTCCGACTGCTGGGAGAGATGCCTCGAGAAGACCTCCATGCGGCTGTGAAGAACTGCTTCGCGGTGGTGAACAGCTCTGTCTCTGAAGGCATGTCCGCCGCCATCCTGGAGGTAGTCAAATAGTGGGAGCACCGACAGAGGGGATGTGAGAGGGTCCCTCAGCTGTTTTCCCCCTCAGCCACGTTCTGCGCGTCCCAAAGCTTGAAAAGCTAAACAGTGCTTCTTAGAGTTTAAAAGTAGTTTGTACGTTCTATCTGGGACTTAAAAAAAATCATTTCTTATTGCTGTTCCTTCTTGCCAGCTACAACATGAAATAAAGCGAGGATGGCCTCGCCTCTCTGCCCTGCAGCTAATCTGTGAAGGCAGCTGAGGGTGTGAAAGGCTGGGACAGGAAGTGGGATGAAGGGGGGGTTTTGTACAAAGCCCCCTTTACTCCTGATGCCTTCTCCCTCTCTTTCTATGATCCGAGAATTTGGGTGAGAAGAAAGGCTTGAGTTCCGTATGTGGCAGGGAATGAGGGAGCTGTCAGAGATGCAGGCAGGGTGGGGTGGTGAGTGTAAACTCGGCTCTGTAAAATCACCTCCCGTGCAGCGGTCCTGGAGTCTGTTCCGACTTACGGCAACCTCGTGTGTGTCAGAGTGCAGCTGTGCTCCATAGGGTTGGGAATGGCTGATTTTTCAGAAGGAGATCACCAGGCCTTTCTTCTGAGGCAAATCTGGGAGGACTCCAACCTCCAGCCTGTCGGTGTGCAGCCAAGTGCATTAACCATTTGCACCACCGGGAACTCCATTTAGTAACTAACACAGATAAAATCCGGTGTAGAAAGGGAGACGTTTTGCCGTTGGAGCCCCGGGTGGGGTTCCTTGGCACAGGTTTTCTGTCTGACTGCAAGGACGTCCTGTGTTGGTGTCTGCTTCGGCCGATGCTATTGCTTTATCACAGGTGTCTGGAACTCCATGGAGTGCTTTGGACGCCAGTGAATGTGCTGGATTTGCTGGTAAAAGGTACAACTTGTAAACCCTAACATTCAGAGGACGCTGTAAATAACTGAAGCCGGAAGAAAAGTGACCCCTCCCCAATGGAAGAAACGATGCTTAATATTTTCTTTTAACTGGTATCATTTCACAAAGCAAAGAAGTCAAGGGGGGTGGAGTAGATGCTGCACCCCCAGGCCCGCGATTCCAGCGTGTGCGTACTCCCCGGGCAGGCGGCGTGGACGTGTGCCATGCGTCTTCATTCAGGTCCCGCTAGCTCAGTGTGTGTTTAATGCTGAGCATCCCACTGCTTTCCACGGTAGTCCTTGGGCCAGCACGTTTGACCCTTCCTGTTAGCTTTAAAAATGTGTCTTCTGTAGTTCCAGTATTTGCGCCACTGTTGCTGAATTGCCCCTTTGTATGTAAATGTGTATATTTCTCATCTTCCTGAGAAATATAAAGTAGGATTCAGGGAGTGATTCTGTAACTAGCACACGCAGCGCTTCACTGCGGATGAATTGCTGTCAAACCTCATTTCCTTCAAAGGAAAGGCAGCTGCGAGTAATCGTGAGGGTGTAAATGTTGACATGTCTTCCTTCGTAGCTTCCAGAATGACTTCTGGGCGAGAGTTTGAATGAAACTGATTTGAGAGAGCCAAGTAAGGGTGCGCATCAGGAGACCAGCTTCAGATCACCTAAGGGGTTAACCACAGAACAGCTGCGGAGCACTGTGCGAGGGGGTGATCTCGTCACCTTTCAGAATTAGTGATGTTTTCCCATGGAAGCACAGCAAAATCCCACTTGCTAAGACACATTTCTTAACATAAACTCCAAAACCCAAACTCCACCCAGAAGTGTGGGCAGGAGGGTGGACGTTCCCACAAATAATCCAGCAGAATTTCGAGTTTGGGTTTACTGTGGAGTTGAACCCCGTATAGAATTAAATTAACAGCACAAACAAGTATTTTCTGATCCCAGTCCTCATAGTTAGGCCCCCCTTCCAAACATACACACACACATACACACACACCCCTCACATATACACCCCCCTCACACCACAAACCCCAAACACACCCACACCCCACACACCCGACACCCTCCGGGTCAAAGTTTCCACTGATGGGGGAGCGGTAGGGAGGCCATATTCTAAAACCGAGAGTAGTTAAAAAAAATAAAATAAAAAATAATTCTTGTCCTCTTAGCTCCCAGGCCCTAGAGATTTAAGTCATTTGGGTTTTCCAAGGGGGCAGCAGTGGGCTAGGGGTAGAATCCTCGCCTTCCCAGGTTCTGTTCCAGCCAATGTACCTCACATGCAGCCACCACCTGTCTGTCATTGGAGGCGTGTGTGTTGCTGTGATGCTGAGCCGGTTTCAGCGGAGCTTCCTGATTAAGATGGAGTAGGAAGAAAGGCCTGGTGATCTGCTTCCTAAAATCTGCCCATGAAAACCCTGTGGATCACAGCGGTCTGACCTATAACCAATCATGGGGATGGTGTAGACTGGGCAGTGTTTCTTTTTTTTTTTTAATATTTTATTGTACTTCAGTTGAAGGCTTACAGAACAGATAGTTTCTCATGTAACAGTAACACACATGCTGTTTTATGACATTGGTTAACAACCCCACAACATTTTAACCCT